AACATGCCGGCGTTTCTGTGTAGCAAGGATATTATATTGCTATAGATTTGCTTTACAATTTTTCATTTTTGGAGATTCTTTAAAGGGACACTGGACCCTGTTTCCAGGAGCCTAAGCTGAGTATTGGCCTCAGCAGATTTGTACCGGGTTGACATGTAGGGGTGTGTTCCCGGGCCCCGGTTGTCTCATTGGAATGGAAAGTACTCCAAAAAAAAAAAACAAAAAAAAACTACACATCCATGCACGTTCGCATAGGATCTCAGTCGCCATTGAATGAGAGTGGAAACTGCTGAAGGATAATTAGAAGATGCTGGCCGTGGATCTTCTTTATGTGCGACTTCGGATCCAGCACACCGTTGACAAAAGAAAGAAAAAAAGAGTGCATCTTCCCACCTAAGTTGGCTGCCAAGATCCATGCATTGCAAGGAATAGAAGAGTGGCATTGGATGTATCTCGCCAATTGCTGTGGGAAAATACACTACAAATATTTTCCATTATTTTTTTCCTCCCTCTTTATCTGCACAAGTTAGACCTTGCACGGGGCTAAAAAAAATTAGAGGCCTGGCATCATGTGCAATTTCTTACCACCAAGGCACAGCCACCGCTGTCGGGACTGGCCCCACTGATTACTACGCTAGACGTCGCGGGTCTCACACTTCCGTTCATAAAACGGAAACTTAAACAGGTAAGACTTAGTGAGCTCAAAATTAAGATCGTTGAAAATGTATTTCAGACGCGGGCTGCTTAAAATAATACTCTGCAGAGCGCCCGCCCCCCCGAAAAAAAAGTGAAAAAGAGCAGCGCGCTGCACGGTTGCTGCGTTAGCACAGCACCGTGGCCAAGCTCCACATTCACGGTTGAACTACCGTCTTCCCCCGAATACATCGCACGGTCATTATAGCTGAATTTAGACTGAAAGATAGCCCAAATTCAGCTATAATAACCGTGCGTTGTATTCGGGGGAAGACTCTACTCCAACGCATGTGACCCCGCACGACGTTGGAGATGCATGTGGAGCGGCACATCTAGTGGTGGTTTTTAGGTAGCAGAAATGGAAAGACCTTTGTTTCGTTTTTTGGGTTCAAGAGAAGTGCTGAAAAATCCCTCCACCCTAATACAACTCCCCCTTCCGAGTTGGGGTGGGGTATGGGTTCAACAATGCTTGTGCCGTCATTACCTCCTCGTGGGAGGACACTCTGACAGAGAGTGTTCACACTGTCGTTGGCTGTGCAGTCCTCAATGCACCAAGCCAGGGTACTGTCCACTTTCATGTCACTTTCTAGTGAGTGACTGCCTCCGACTTTGCATAGTATACAGCCGTGAGGGTTGTGTTTCTTCATTTCATTTTCCAGAAAATGCAGACAAAAGCTTTGAGCAGGATTTGGTTCTTCATTTTCGTTTTGGAAAACAGCGATAAAAGCGTTCAGCAGCAGTTCATTCTTCATTTTGGCTTTTCTTTAGAGTTCTTAAGTCGCAAGAACCATGTCACACCATTGCGTTAACTAGTTCAACGGTGCATGTGGGACTCGGCCCCCACCTGAATTTTTGCCATGGACGTCTGCTGTGCTGGTGCGTCATCCACACGAGGTGCAGGTGGCAGGCATTGCTCAGGAGCTGCGAACTCACAGCCCCGGAATAGAACGCCCGGTCATTATAGCTGAATTTGGTTCAAGTTGGGTCCAGATGCAGCGATAATGACCAGGCATTCTATTCGGGTGAAGATGGTAGCCAGAACTTGCCGAAGGGAGTGGTGGGGCAGGAGAGGCACTAGCGCGCATTGGCACCGAGGACACCACTGCTAGGCACCCGCCATAGACCAATCTTTTTTCTTTCTTTTTTTTGAAACACACGCTCCATCTATTGGTGGGGAGCAATACCTGCTGCAAACCGGGTCCAGCATCCCACAAATACAACCATTTCCTCACAAATAGGCACCAACTGGGAACCGGGCCCAGCGTCCCATAACAGACACGTTCAGAAAATTCATCAGAACATTCCATGAAAATAAGGCTAGAAAGCTACTAAGAATTTTGCTTCTTTTTGAAAGTTAAGATACCGGGGCCATGACCCAGCTTTGACTCAGAGATATTGGAACAACTTCAGACATGTCTACAACAATCTTCATGATTTCAGCAGACCCCCCAATCAATCCCCTTGTCCCTACTCCAGCAAGACTTATTGCAGCAGAGCCACCATCTCTGCTGCTGATGTGCTCTCTTCCCATCCTACCAGCTAGCCCACTCACTAGTAGGACGCGTGACACCCCACCATCTTTTTTCCAAAGGACTACATGCCACAGTTCTGTCTTCGTCATCGAAAGGGAGGCCCCGGAAAGTCCACGAATGCAATAGTTCTGTCTTTGTCATCCAAGGGGAGGTCCCGGATCATAGACCAATCTTGGCCAACGTGAGTTGTTAATCCTTGATTAAAAGGAAGGGGAGATATGGTGAGAGATGTGAGCCGGGCCACTAGGCAGGGTCTGCACATCGTTCAAGTTTATTCCAGAATCATCACCTGATCAAGGGCTTTGCCCGCGGGTTATAGTGACAGGGCATGATTCAATTTGCAAAGTTGGTAGTGCCAGCAGTTTGATTTGGATGATTGAGCGGGAGATGAAAGAGTACAGGGCATCCATAAAAATGAACTTCTGGGAGAGATAATGAACAGCAATTTCGTCAAAATGGACATATTTTACTTTTTGAACAAATTTGGAAACTAAATAATCCCGATTTAGGTCGATATTTTCAGCTCCAGGGGGTACGGCGTTCTGAAAACGCCCTACCCCCTGGATGCAAACTAAGTCCAGATGCATCCAGGGGGCCGTACCCCCTGGACTCCAGCGAAGTCCAGATACATCCAAGGGGTCCAGCGTTTTAAGGACGCTGGACCCTCGAACTTTCTACCTAAATCTCTCTAATTTATGAGGTTTCAATTTCGTTCAAAATAAAATATGTCGGTTTCGACGAAATTGCTGTTAATGGAGAGACAATGGACTTTAAGCCACAAAGTCTTCTTCCATCTCCGGTCCGCAACATCGCTCCTCCATCTGCAACTGGAATCGTCCACTTGGGATGATACTCATACTTCGGGCATGACGTTTGGATTCCTTCACATATCTGGTACTGTGACAGATTCTTCGTAAGTCAGTACTGCTCTCTTTGATCACAATCTTTAGCAGCTGCTGCTATTAGGGTTGGAACTCAAGGTCGGCCATAATGTTCGTGTTCCTATTTGATAGTTTCAGTAGCTTTTTCGTTTGTTTAGGGTTTGGACGTACAGATCCATGGTTGCACTTTATTTTTGATAGTTTCACTGGTTCGATCGTTTGTTTCAAGGACGATTGCATAAATTAGAGGTAATTAGGGTATTCAGTCAAGTTGGGATCTGTTCGTGATCGTTGATTCGGATTGCGGTTGGGATAGGTTCGGGATAGGTTTAGCCAGACGTGCCTCCCTCCGCCCCTTCGGCCGCAGCAAATGATGTAAGGGACGCCAGGCCTGGTTCTTAGCTATATGAATATGTATCTTCCAACTCTTCTTTGGGGGGGGGGAAAAAAAAAAAAAAGACGTCGCCCTGCACAAGTGCATGTGTGGGAAAAACAACCTCCATTTTTGGGGTAAGAAGATATAACATGGGTGTGGATTTTTTTTTTTTTTTTTTTTTTTTTTTTTTTTTTTTTTTTTTTTTTTTTTTTGTGTTGAACTCTGCTCTTTTTGGTGGGCATTCACCATTTAGCACAGATTCAAGATTTTCCATTCAAAAAAAAATTACGATATGATTTTTCGTTTCCCACGTTCACATGGCCAGGAACCACGGTGTATTAGTCAGGAACTCTCATACCAGTTCGCAAACGAATCTGTTCGCAATTGAAGCGAGATTCATGCGAAACAAGCCCGCCATTGAAGCGAGATTCATGCCCAAAAAGCCCAAACGAGAGAGCGAATATGTCCTCCATAGTGCGTCACCTGTCTCTTATACACATCTAGATGTGTATAAGAGACAGGTATTAGTCAGGAACTCTCATACCAGTTCGCAAACGAATCTGTTCGCAATTGAAGCGAGATTCATGCGAAACAAGCCCGCCATTGAAGCGAGATTCATGCCCAAAAAGCCCAAACGAGAGAGCGAATATGTCCTCCATAGTGGTCTCTTATACACATCTAGATGTGTATAAGAACGGTGTATTAGTCAGGAACTCTCATACCAGTTCGCAAACGAATCTGTTCGCAATTGAAGCGAGATTCATGCGAAACAAGCCCGCCATTGAAGCGAGATTCATGCCCAAAAAGCCCAAACGAGAGAGCGAATATGTCCTCCATAGTGCGTCATGAGTGTGTTTCAATATTCCGGCGCGAAAACCAGAACACACTCGCTCCGTCTCAGACCCCGACTAAGAGCCCAATGCATCAAAACTCGAAACCCCAGCATCCCGACCCCGAGCCCAATGCAACCCCGACGTTAATCCCCTCCCCTGGCAAGAAAAGACCAGAACGACCGATTATTTTCGCTGTATGTAGACCAAAATAACTGCCCCAAACACACAGCAATGATAACCGAACGCTCAATTCGGTGGATGCCTTGAGAGGTAAGAACTCCCCCAACAAAAACACATGCCGACAATTTCTACATTTACTTTATTTATTCGAAGGCGTAAAACCAAACATTTTTTTCCACTGGATATCGAACTCACCAGCTGCATTTCTAGTGTAACCTTTGATCTCACAGTCTGTACACTAGAAGCTATAATACTGCACACTACTCGATCATAGACACCCACTACTTCGAACGCAACAAAGATAAGACTCAAGTCTGCTGTTCCCCCGCAGGTCGCCTTACACCCGCCCCCTATACAATGACCATCGATTTAGCCGCCGGCATCACCCACCCCCTATACAATGACCATCGACTCAACCGCCGGCAGTACACAGTCAAAGGGTCGACAATTTTTGGTCTTCCCGCCATCTCCCACCTCTTTTTCCTCTTCGCGACCTGCTCTGCCATACTTCCTCATCAATTTACTTCCAGATCGAGCTCCCGTCGAGAAGGCAGGGTCGAAAAGGAACAAACGCTTCAGCAAAAGATATCATCCTCTACTCAACATACTATTACATGCTACCTCAAACGACGTTAAAAAATGCTACCTGAATCTGACGTTTAAAAGAACCAGATACATTGTTACTTCACCATTATGAATGTATTAAAATGATCACTTCGCAGTGGATCGAGGCCCACAGTCAAAGCATTCCTTCTCATTCAAGGAGGTCACACTGTCGCTTCAATCCAGTAATCGCCGGAACGCACCATCGCGTCATCATACGCTTCACAATCACCATACACTTATTTGTACATTATTATGTAACTCCCTCCGTGTCAATACAACCGCCTGTCTGCATGCTAACTATAATCGTCCTTCGATTAAGCACCCCACCCTCACCCTCCTCATCAACAATCGACCCTAATTGATCGACCGCCGCACTTTCCACTCTGTGATTGACAGCAACGGTTCGTTTCGTTCGTGATCTTGCTTAACTAATTCAGCACAAGCATTGATAGCATTCGAATTGTATCTTGGTATCTTTCGTCTTCGATCAGGATCAACAGTTTGCTGACACTCAAACAAATTACTATAGTTGAAAGTCACAATAGGGACTCTCTCCTCCACTCCTCCGCTGACCAAGCAGACCTCTGAAGCCACACTGGCCGTCAGGCGCTGCTGCTCAACCCACGAAGCCAGTGCCACTTCCACGGGCCCGCTACCCGGCGTTCATGCGACACCCACTGACTGAAGCTCACCAACCATCACACCCATCTTTCTCTGCGTCCTCCATCACCTCCCTTCCACCGCGAACAAATTCCCGCTCGTCTCTGAGAGGACTGCGTCTGCTAACAATCCACGTGGCATCTTGTAAGCGTATAAAACTCCGGCCACGTTGTCAATTACAGCGACTGGCTGCCGTTCGGACAGAGATCGCGGGAGTTCGAAACCACTCGTTTCCGTTCGTGCTGAAGCTATCATCAGAGCTGAACCTGACACCTTGGGTACGCATTAAAAAAGGAAAAAATATAGCCACGTGGCCCTTTCCGATAATTCCGCGTCTATCAGCGCTCCACGTGGCACCTCGCGAACGTCGCAAATGTACAAATTGACATCACGCTCTCCCGCTCTTTTCTAATCGCACTCATCAGCAAACAATCCACGTGGCATCTCCCGCTCTTCACTGACCGCACTGCGTCTGCTAACAATCCACGTGCCATCTTGCACGCGTATAAAACTCTCCCGCCACGTTGTCCATCACACCGACAGCCACCACTCGCAGACAGATCGCACATCTCGGGAGTTCAACCCAAACGTTTCCCCTAACACTAACCTGTTCCAGCCACTCGTTTCCGATCGTGATGAACCTATCAGTGCTCCACATGACGCCTTACAAATTATCTCAAATGTGTCCACACACGCACAACGAAAAAGAACAACATACGCCACGTGAGATTTCCGATCATTTCGCATTTATCAGCACTACAAGTGGCACCTCGTGACCGTTAGCAAAAATATTGACAAGTTCCTACCACTGCTCGTTTCCAGTCGTCCTGCGTCTTCCGGCGCTTCACGTGACCATCCTCCGGGAATATCCCAAAAACGAAAAATATACAGTACCTTTCACAATCCCCGCACTCTCTTTTTTTTTTTTTTTTTTGAACCCCGCGCTCTTTCTGATCATCCTCAAATGTTTACCAATCCTCGTGTGAACGTCCGTCGCACGTTTAATAAGCCACACTGTCAATTACCGCCAGAAGAAGATTGCGGAAATCCCCGCTGGTTTCTGATCGCACGGTATCGATCAGCGATCCATGTTGGGCCTCATACACGTCCTTGATCTCGCGCAAATCGATGTCCTTCCGAGCAATTATAGCTCTAATCAACTGCTCTTCGTCAGTCCCGAGACCTTTACACCCCTTATGAATCATGTCGGCGAAAGCCTTCGCAGGCTCCACGACGAACTTTCCCAGGGTTAGCAGATCCTTCTCCAGACCCCCTCGAAACTCCTTATCCATCACCGTGAACAGACTTTGTCCGTACAAAGTCTCGTACTCGCGGAACACCGCTCTCACAGTCTCCGTACCCTCCGTAGCCATCAGGTCCATGTAGGGACCTTCGTCGGTACCCCATTTCGCCGGCCCAGCAGCGTACAGCGACTGAGCAATCGAGCGAGCGTGATCCCGATCCACGTAGTTACCTTCCAATCGGTCAACGGTCAACAATCGCTCGTACAACTTGCGTTCTTTCCCGCCAAAAGTGCCCAGCACATCTGCAATCATATCCTTGCCATATTTCAGCGAGTAGGACTCGGAAATGGCGCGCAATTGGGTCGGCGTGCGTGTGCACAGGATCTCTCTCGCAACATTTTTCTTCTTCATGATCCCGGTGATGGCATCACGAATCCAGTCCGCATCCCGGACAGGGGCAGGCAGAAGTAGCGCCATCAAACCTTTCTGGAAATCGCCCTTTGTCTTCCTCCTCACCTCTTTGACGACATCCCGACCCATTCCCTGCGCTGTGCTTACCATAACTCTCCGATCTTGCCAAGACGAGTATGCCACGAGCTCTATAATCCTATTCGCTGCTTCCTCGTAATTGTTGTCCAGAGCTGCAGAGACAGCAAATCAAGCGATAACGGGCGCCGTAGTTTATCATCAGGAATATCAAGCGATAGGAAGAGCGCCTTAGTTCATCATCAGGTATGACGGGTGGAACAAGTCGTTTAAAAAGAAAAAAGAAATTCTCAAACGCAAGCAGATACCCAGACTGGTATTTTAATTTCATTTTTGCCACGAGCTTTATGATCCAGGTTGGGCTACGACTTTTTTTTTTTTTTTTTTTGGGTGGATCTGTGGATTCATTTACTTCAATGACTATACTACAGTCTTCCCCCGAATACAACGTACGGTCATTTAGATGAATTTAGACTGAACGATGGACCAAATTCGGCTATAATGACCGTGCGCTGTATTCGGGGGAAGACTGCAGAGCTGAAGAAACAGTTATAAGCAACCAAAGCTAGCTAGAGTATAATCATCGTTAGGAACGAGAATTACTCTAAATAACAAAAATAATAATAATAAATGATAACGAAAGAAATCGGAAGTTAACCCAAAAAAAAAAAAAAAACCAGATATGTTATTGATCCGGACGGCTTACAATCAATTGGGCTTCATCACACGGTTCACAATTAATTGGGCTAACAGCAAACCACACACCGCCGCTACCGTCTTCGTCCCAGCACCACGCACCTTCATCACGACGTATATACAACTTATCTTCCTGGTCAAATACTCTCATCATCATGGACTGCACACAACCTAAACTGCACACAACCTACGTTTCTGGTCAAATACTCGATGAGGTTGCGTTGAACTGCCGGCTGGACGGTAGTGGAACCCCGGTCAAGGTCATATTATTAGCTCGCCTCATACAAATACGCAGTACGAGAAACCCATCGCTCATGCAGGGGCGCGGTCCCACTAAATAAAAGAAAGTAATTAAGACTTACAAATGAATCTGGACATATATTCGGAGCGGCGACGTAAAGTAACGATGGACTAGTTACAAATGAATCTGGACATAATGGATCGGCGACGTAAAGTAACGAATGGACCTGCGGTCGACAAACACGTCCAGATTCAGGGGCTCGATCCAATCCAATTTGCTAGTGGGACCTCCCCCCCCAGACATATGTAGATCAGACAATATAATTGCATAGGCGGCAGAGAAACATAAATCCTGAAAAAATAAAAAAGAATTCTGTAACGATTAACGTCTTTTCTTTTGTTTCCTCTTTTCAACAGTCTCCATCTAGTTCATACAAAGGAACTAACAACAACAGTACAGACTAAGCCGGAGGAAATCGTTTATTTCTAGCGTCCACTAATACTGTAATAACAAAAACAAAGACGCGAAGTGAGATCGGACATACACAAAACAAAAAAGAACAAAAGAAACAAGAACATACACAACGAACATTACGGGATAAACTGAGAATAGGATCTCTTCTCGGAAGCCAAACAAGTCTAACAATACAAAACCGGTCTAACTCAATCGGTCCAGAGAAGATTAGCATGTTTGATGGTACCCCGACATGCAACTAATTGCAATGTAACTGGACGTGATTAGCAGAAAATACATGCAGGTGATTCGCGTGGATCTTACAAGGATGGATTTCTTGTGAAGCGGCATCCTGATACATCCCGCCAGACGAGTCGTGCGTGCAGCCGCGTCATAGACAAATGACTTGAGCAAGGGGCTTAGGGGGCCTGGTTCAGTGGTTAGGCAGGCGAGTGGGACTCACGACGTCCGGCGCTCAATCACAACAGATAGCCTGGGCCCGCCTACCGTCTTCAACCGAATTGAACGCCTGGTCATTATCGCTGCGTCTGGGCACGCCTACCGTCTTCACCCGAATAGAACGCCCGGTCATTATCGCTGCATCTGGACCGAAAGTTGTGCCAAATAAGCTATAATGACCAGGCGTTCTATTCGGGTGAAGACGGCAGTGCCAACAAATCATAGTTGGCTTGCGTCCCCCGGTCATTATCACTGCATCTGGACCGAAAGTTGTGCCAAATACAGCTATGATGACCGGGCGTTCTGTTCGGGTGAAGACGGTAGTGCCAACAAATCATAGTTGGTTTGCGGACCCCGGTCCGTACTGCTTCGGGTCCTTCGCCATCACGGGGGTGTTTGTGGGCAGAGGGGGATTGTGTTTGGTGTGTGAGTGCTGCTGCCCAACTCGGTTGGGGGGGGGAGGGGGAGCAGAGGGGGAATAGTGTTTGGTGTGCGAGTGCTGGCCTGTTACTCGATTGAGGGCGGGGGGGGTGAGGGGAACAATACACATAAGATTAGCATGATCCCTGCGCAAGGATGACACGCATAAATCGAGAAATGATCCAAATTAAACAAGGAAAAAAAGAACGTCCGCGGCTGCGGAAGAGGTGAAACTCTGTACGGAAAAAAAATGCGCTCATTCAAAATAATGCGCGCGCGCCACTAGGACAAAAGATCGTCTCTCTCCTGCTCGCAGCCGCGCACACGTCCCCTCCGCGGCATTTCAACACGCTGTGCTCAGGTCGCATCAGGGGCCGATCAGCTAACCCACAGCTCACAGCTTTCGGCGGAGATTCGGCCAAACGAGCAAGCCCGATCAGCTAACCCACAGCTCACAGCTTTCGGCGGAGATTCAGCCCAACGAGCAAGCCTGTCCAGCGACCTACCGCATACTCACGGAATACTCACGGCATGCTCACCGAATACAGAAGACTCGCCATATTCTCCCAGTACTCACCGCAAACATAACGTCGTTGCAGTCCCGTGACGGTGACAACAACGAAAAACATTACTCAGCTGACCGTGGGCGCGGTACGACTAGCAAAGAGAACTGCAATCGCAATTGATCTGCTTTAGCGCATCACTGCATATAACACGTCCAGATTCAGGCGCTTAGTCCAGTCCTCTTCGCTGGTGGGACCTCGCCCCGGGTTTTCATCTGCGGAAGCACCGTGAGAATAATGTCGATTATAAGGAAGCTCTACCTTCCTCATATTTATTTTTTTCATCCACGAGGGTTGCCGACCGCTTTTATTGAACACATTCAAACGACGAACCCAGGTCCTCGACGGGGATTCGAACCAGGGTCCTTGTCCAAGAATTTTATTAAACTGAAGCAGCGTGGAACCAACGAGGAAAGGGTACTAAGAAAATACATATCAAAATACGCTGCACACAGCCACACTTTTCGGCAAAGTACATGGCACTGAGCTTTATCTTCAACATGTCTCTTACAAATACACTAGAAAATACGCTGCACACAGCCACACTTTTCGGCAAAGAACATCGCAGTTAGCTTCATCTTCATCATGTCTCTCGCAAATACATAAAAATACGCTGCACACAGCCACACTTTTCGGCAAAGCACACAGCCACACTTTTTGGCGAAGCACATGGCAGTGAACTTCATCGTCAACATGTCTCTTACAAGTACATAAAAAATACGCTGCACACAGCCACACTTTTCGGCAAAGTTCATGGCAGGACTCGGGGCATATTCACACTAGAACTTTCCCGGATGTATAAGACCGCCTTTCCGACCTGGCTGGATGCATCTGGGGGCAATTACGTCCACAGAGGAGTGGAAGACGTCTTAGTGTGAGTATGCTCGTAGAATATTCACAACGCGACAATCCGCAACAGAAGGATACGGCGTCATCATCGGCACAGAAACATACAGCGTTGTCGTTTCTTCCAATTCCTTCTTTCAGATAACGAATCGACTTAACACCGAAACGGAAAAAACAATTGAATATGAAAATCCAGATACTAGCGACAAAACACAGGACGAGTATGTAATTAAAAAAAACACAGGACGAACAGGATCACATCACTACTTTAGAAAAGAGAAAAAAGAAAAAAATCCGTACCATCGGCAGCTCGCACCAAAGAAGACGCGGCGGCTTGTGCATCGAATGGCCGATATCGCCGTTCTTGCTGGTACGCCATAGCTGCGCACTGATATATTCTCCCTCCTCAATGTCGCGATGTGTGGTCGAAAGCCCTGACCAGGCAAGACCCCAGGCCAGCTAATAGCCTAGAAAACAGACCGCTAAACGGAGGACGAGTAAAATGAGGAGGGGAGAAAGGAGAGCTTGAACACGGAGGGCTTACTCTCCGTTTTCGGACGATTTTCAACAGCGACAAGATCAAGTGCAACAAAGCTTCCTCTTCCGACTCCTGGGGAATCGACTCTCTCCTATCTTTCTCTTCTTCCCCGCACACGCTCACAACCACAAGTACGCTCAAACACCTTGGCGTACCCTCGCCACTACTAACTTCCCCGCCGCCCTGTCGCAGACACACGCATATACTACGGCCAACCTCTAGATACAGATCATACGGTTCGGCACATAATCCCGACTATCCGCTCTCTCCCTTCCCAGATTCCTTCGCTCTCACTCTACGCTAGTATCCGATTTGTACTGAGAGCGCCCCACGGATGCTGCCTCCGGGGGTCGACGGTCTATTTATGCGTCCCTTCAATCTCGCAGTTCGCAGTCGGTGTTGGTTTGAACTCGAACCTGCGGCCCTGTGTGGCTCTCCCGCTTCATCGTCTCCCGTCTTCGGGCCTCGCCACACAACTGTCGAAATGAGAAAAGTACGACTTCATGTTCATACAGTGGTGAGATGCGTCCACTATGAATAGTGTCGGACGCATCTGACCTCTTTGTGGGGATGATACACTCGTACGTTTCCCGTTTCGACAGTGGTGTGGCGAGGGCCTTTGACTTGCGTGACTCTGCCGTTGCATGCGGCAGGGGAGCGGTCAACTTTCGCGACCTCTTCAGTTCTGACCATAGATTACGAGAATCAATGGCTAGAAAATGAACGATTCATGCCTCAGACTGGCAGAAGGGTTTGATCCACTGCTCTCTTTTTTGAGAGTTTCATGTGTGCACTCTACATCATTTGTCCCATTTCAGCCTCTCTGGTTGGTTACAGTTTTGACGACTACCAGTTGTTCCTGTTCGGGTCTACGGTTCTCCTGTATGGTTGCCACTTTGGGACTTCATCAGGAGCGATGTGACCTTTGTTTATGCTTCCTCGCATCCTGAACTCTCATTTTTTAAACCACCAGTACCTTAAGGCCCGTGGCTCAGCCTACCGGTAACCCGAACCTTGCCGAGCCTCGAGCTACCGGTAGGTACAGTGGTACACAAAAAAAAAAAAAAAAAAAAAAAAAAAGCCCGACAATTCTTCTGCCCAAAAAAACAAGAAAACGAAAAACACAGAAATCCGTTTTGCCCTTTCCATCTTTGGGTCGCGGGGAGAGAGAGAGAGAGAGAGAGAGAGAGAGAGAGAGAGAGGGCGCGTGGCCGATGGGGCACAAACGTGCAAAACGAGAATGAATCTTCTGCCTCCTGCATGCAAGATTCATTCTCATTTTGGGCATTCGTGGAGAGAGAGAGAGAGAGAGAGAGAGAGAGAGAGAGAGAGAGAGAGAGAGAGAGACAGAGAGAGCTGGCGACTTCGCCAAGTCGCCGGCTCTCTCTCTCTCGCTCTCTCTCTCTCTCTCTCTCTCTCTCTCTCTCTTGCACGGACCAAATTTGCAAAATGAGAATGAATCTCCCCGTAGAAGTGGGGAGATTCATTTGAGTTTTGTAACATTTGCTTCTCCCGATGCGCCAAACTCACTCTCTCTCTCTCTGGTCCGCGCACCTATAAGCAAACGTTACAAAACTCAAATGAATCTCCCCACTTCCACGGGGAGATTCAGTCTCAGAGAGAGAGAGAGAGAGAGAGAGAGAGAGAGAGCTCCCCCCCCCCC